CCAGGGTGGATGTCCAGGTCCCGTGTCTGGGTAAGGCTGGTGGGGAAGGGTCTGGCATCTTGTGGGCCATGGCAGGTCACAATGCCTTAAATCTCCGACCTGGGGGCCAACCCCAAGACCCACACGACTCAGGCCAGCAAACTGTCACCATCCATTTTTCAGATGCCACAGTACAGGATGGCCGGCTCCACCATGATTAGACTTTCTGTCAGTGACTCATCATTCTCGCCATCAAGGAACACTGTCCTTGGCTGGGAGCTGTCACCCTGGCCACGTGCCTCACTCTCCACCTGACCTCCCACAGGAGGCAGCAGAACCCCATCTCGGGCTTTCCTGCCAGTCCCTACACCCACGCCACCTCTGTCCACAACCAACAAGACTCCTACTGAGTCTGCTCTCACCTCCCTTTGGCCAGTGGGGATCTTGGAGACCCCTGATTCCATGCGCGGACACTCAAAGGAAAGGTCCCGAGAGCCAAGGCACGGCTGGTGTCCCTCACCTGGGTTCTTGAAGGGCAAGGCTGGGCCTGAGACAAGGAGGCTGCATCTATCCCTGTGCCCCTCCTTGACCAGCAGGAGCCTGGGGCCTGAGTTGCCATGAGGAAGAGAGGAGCCGAGAGCTCCGGGCCACACACTGCATTTGCAGCCCAGTTGAGCCATCAGATAACCACAGCCCCAAGTGCCACCTGCCTGTGACCACCCGAGAGACAATGAGGGGACCACCCACCCACCCTGCTGAACCGGAGGTCGTGATCAGTGGTTGTGTAGGGCTCCTCCGTTTGGGCACTCGGTTCTTAGCAGTAGAGAAGCAGAGCACCCACGTGTACCGAGAGCCAGCTCTCTCCTCCTCAGCTCACCCGGCCTCCCCCTCCTCCCTCTCTCTTCTTCTCCACCCCCAGGCCCCTGTCCCAAAATCAAACCTTTAGGCAGATCAAACCTCCCAGGCCCAGGAGCAAGGACAAGACCGAGACTCTGCGTTTCGACGAGGGAGGACAAGGACACAGGCAGATGTGCCTGGCTGGGAGAGGAAGCAGTGGTCAGCAGGGGGACGGGCACAAACAGCAAGTTCAGCAAAGATGAGGCAGCTCTGAGGGGGCCCCAGAGGGCTTTCTGGGGCTCCAGATGGGCTCCTGGACGTAATTTCAACCCCAAGGACCCAATTCTAGGGTCATTCTTTGAGGGCAGGAATGGTCTCTTGCCATCTCTGGTTCCTCCACAGCCCTTGTTATGCCCGGCACACAGTAGGTCTACCGAAGTGGACCTGCAGAGGGCCCAGTGAAAGGGTGGCCCTGGCTTCTCCAGGAGTGCCTGCTCTTCTTCATGCCAAGGAGGTGGGCGAGCATGTCAGCATGTATCCTGCTGCCTGATATGCTGCAGTTCCTCAGCAAACACTGAATGAATACATGACTGTGTGGACTCCAGTGACGATCCAAACATCATTTGGGAAGTGGGATCTTGGTTACCTCCCTACAGTCCAGGAAGGTGGTCACACCACACAAGCTCCCTTAGACTATGTTGTGTGAGGGAAAATGTTCACAGACTTGAGCAACACCACCATGGTGGGAGCTCGAGACTCACCGGCTCCTTGACACACGGTATCTCATTGAGACTCTCACACAATTCTGTGAGCTCTACCTATGTACAGATGAGGAGACAGCGGCTCAGAGATATGAAGTTCCTTTGCAAGATCACACAAGCCCATCAGCATCAGGGTGGGCCTAGGACCACAGTGCCCAGCAACCACAACTCTCCTGACCCTGTGGAGTCAGAGGCCAGGTCGGCCCCCTCCTTCTCAGTCTGCTGTTTCAGTCAGACCCTGGCGGGAGAGGGGGCTTGCTCCAGCCATGCAGGCCACACCCCTTCGCAGTGGCTGAAGGAGGCGGAGAAAATCTGTGTCCTCCCAGTCAGGCCAGTCTTGCTCTTTGGAAAAGTCTCACCTTGGAGTTACCCTAACAAAACTTTTAATTTAGATGTTTTCATCTCCTCTCCAAGTAAAAATAAGTTTAAAATAATGACTGTAATAAATGAAGGTAATTAATTGTAGTTTGTTCCTTTACTGTCTAGTCAGCTTAATTTTACCTTTTCAACTAATAATGAGAAAATAATTTTTGTGCTCGGAGGGTTAATGATATGTAACTGCGAGAACTGCTAATTGCATGTTGCAATCCATCCATCAACAACCCCATCTGTGCGACTTGATTATGTTTGCTAAATTATTGCTTTGAATTATCTTTCATAAAGCAACTTTTGTAATTAGCGGGGCTTTCGTCTTGCTCTTTTCTCTGCACACAAGGATACTCAAACTTTAGCCATTTCAAGCTGCCTCCATTAAGCCACCTTCTCTGGCTGTCTTTGTTTCCCTGAGCAGGGGAAATCATAACTGTCCTTTAAGCAATCAAGGCAGAAAGAGAATTTTCCTTGATTCACAGCAGGGCAAATTCACTTCCTCTCCACCACCCCCTCCCCGGCAGAAAAAAAAGAAAGAAAAGGACCCATTCATATACAGTATACGAAGATAAAAAGAACGCTCAGAATCTGTACACGCCAGGGCTGGTGGAGTGAATTTCAGGAACAAACTTGAACATGTTATACTGCAACCAAAGACCCAAGTGGAGTTGGGGAGGCAGGAATGATGGGAGGGATATTCCGCTGAAGCGGCTTTTTTATGGGCTAGTTTATGTGACTTGGGACAGTATTTTCCCCAGGGAATCTTTCCAGAAGTGATTAATGCCCACTTGGGAACCTGCAGCTCCAGCCCAGAGCCCAGTGAATTGCAGGAGGGAAGTGGCATAAAGGATAAGCCCTCATTAAAAAAATTAAAACGAAAATCATATTTGGATTATAAACAGCCCGTGCGTGAGCAGCTTGCTCAGGACCAAGAGGAGGCTCGTTATTAACACCTTTCTTTGACAGCTGTGCTCGCCCCACCCCCAGGCGTGGGGAGGAAACTGGTAGTTCGAGGGCTTTGTCAACAGATCATGAGGAAAGCAGGGGGTTTGGGAATACAATTCTAGACAAATATAGTCTTTTGGTACATTGAAGGCACAATGCAAAGCCCTCTTAAGAAAATTAACAAAATTCTTTGAAGATCTCCAGCTACTAAAGCCGCGTCCATGCAACACACCACATGGGTTTCGGAAACAAGTGCTCAGCTCTGTCTGCCCCTCAGCTCCATGAAGACTTTTCTCTGCCCTAGTACTTAGCTGAGAACCAACTGTACACCACTGCCACCGTGCTATGGTGATGTCTCAGAGCTGCTTAGTTCTTTGAATCCTTAACTGGCACAGGAGGGAAGCTGAAGTTCAAAGAGGTTAAGGAACTTCCTTAGGCCACAGAGCTGGTTCGGGCAGCAGGGCTGAGATTCAAAGCAGGCTGCCCCAGTCTTCTGAGGACCTGTGCTTCACAGTGATCCCAGAGCACACCCAGTGTTTCGCCCTTTCTCCTACTGAAAAGGTAACCTACTTCCTACAGGGACAGGAATCCCCTTCTTCTGGATATAGGGAAAGGCAACTGCCAGTCCAGCCGTAGCAGAGGGCAAAACTTCCTGTCCTGGAGGTCACTGTTTTGTTCTTCCTCAATCACAACCCTATGACGTGGTTATAATTATTATCCATTTTACAGATGAGGAAATGGAGGCACAGAGAGGCAAGTAATTCACCTAAGGTCACATAGTTCGTAAGCAGCAGAAGCAAGATTCAAATCTCCCTTGAAGCTCTCCGAGTGCCAAACATGACATTAACCCCTCCCCCTGCATTATACTTCAGTTAATCCCCCAAACCACACAAAAAGGCCTCTAGTGTCTTCACCCCACCTCACAGATAGGGCAACTGAGGCTGTAGGAGGCTAAGAGAAGCTCTGCCCCGCCAAGCCAAGCACAGGAAGGGCTGAGAAGGTGAGCTGTCTCCAGAACGGCCCTGTGCCTGTCTGGGCTGCCAGGGAAGCAGGGCTGCTGAGGAAGCCTGTGTGCTGAGCGGCCCTCCGGGCACAGGGGTCAGCAGATGGGGAGTTCTGCCTTTTAAAAACTACAAAGCCAGAAAAACACATTCCCAACATTCTTTCTTCTTTTGGTTTTTGGCTCCACCTACCTCCTGGTCCAGGGACCTCGCAACCAAATGAACCAATACTGGCTGGCCTTATCAATAAATATAAATAAGGATATCAGTCTACTTTGTGATGAAACAAAGGGCTGAAAAATATGGAGATCAGCAGCACTGGTATAAATACAGTTCCCTTCTTTCTTTCCTTCCTCATGGTGCTTGGGATTGAATCCAGGGTCTTCACACTGAGCTACATCCCCAACCCTTTAAAATTTTTTATTAGGGTTGAGGATGTAGCTCAGTGGCACAGAGCCTCCCTGGCAAGCTTGAGGCCCTAAGATTGATTCCTGGTACCAAAAGAGAAATTTTTAAAATTTTGTTATAGCGTCTCACTAAGTCTCTAAGTTGCCTAGACTAGACTGGAATTTGCCATCCTTCTGCCTCAGCCTCCCACAGAGCTAAGTTTTGTTTACTTTCAACATTGACTTATGTGCTTACAGGGCTCTGTGACCGTTGGTGGACAACAGAATTCAAATGCATCCCTACCGGTGAGCTCTGAACCGTGCCAGTTCTGAGAAGGAGCCCCCCGCCCAGCCTCCCCTTCACTTGCCGACCCGGGGTGATTCTAGTCTTTTCCTAGACTGTGCCAGCCAGGTGAGTGGACATTCTTAGAATCCTGGCCACAAAGTCAAGCGACAGGAGAAACGAGGAGGTTCTGCCCCATCACAGTGCCCTGGAAAGGCAAGAGGAGGGACGTGCCTGGGAGGACTTGGCTGCTGCGGAGAACCAGGGCTCACAGGTTGGCAGGAAGAGTTGGGACAGTGCTGACTTTATCCACAGAGTGGGCCAGTGGAAAGGCTTGCTGAGGGGCTGGTAGGCCACTGTCTTCCTCTGCCAACTCCAGGTGGAATGAGAGGGGGAGCTGGGTTTGCTTTTCTCACATGCCTTGGGCCTTGGGTCTTACCTCAGCTTGGAAGCTTTTTAATACGGGTGCCACCATCTCTCTGATTTCCTGAAAAAGAGATCAGTGAAGGATTCATCGCAGTGCCAGGTGGGCACCCCCACAGCCCGACTGTTGTCCCCTCGGGTCCCACAGGACCTGCACTCCATGGAATTTCATAAAGGACACACATACACTCAGGGTATCAAACCAAATCAGATTGACAAACAGCAAGTCCAAGAGGTCCCTTTCCTGCAGGACTTTTCAGAGCCTTTAATGTGATACGCACTAGAACTTTCTAGAAGAGGGAGAGAAGAAGTGGTATTTTCCAGATGGATTGATTACGGCTCGGTCTTTTAGGCAAAGCATCTTGTGGAATGGGTAAGTCACTGGAGAAGTGGCCCAATTCTTTCCTCTCCCTGCTATCATCAAAGCCCGAGAGCAAGTCCCTCTGTCACTCAGGGGCTACCTTTTGCCAGTTGCCGACTCCCATTGCCACCACCCCACATGACTACATCTAGTGTCTGCTCCTCTACTTGTCTCTCCTTCATCACCACAATGCACAGCTAATTTCTGGGGACTTGTGGGTCCCCCGGGTCCTGCAGTGCTCAGCTCAGAAGAAGGGCTCCACCAATGTTGATGGACAATGCTAGGGATGGGAGCTGTCTCCAGCGGGCATCTGCTCTGGCCACCGGGGGCCTCCAATTTCCAGACTTGGATTTCCTGACTTTCTTAAGTAACCTGTGGTTCTCAGACCCAAGGGGTCCCCTGGAAGATTTCTATTGGCTCTTTTCCCCAGTGTAAGGGGGAAGCCTTAGAACCACATATCCCAAAACACTAACTCTGAAACCTCTGATTTCCTCTGGGATCCACAATCAGCCATAGCCACAAGAAAACTGACAGGAGGGGGAGGTGAGGGAGCTGGATGGGGGACAGAGAGAAACAGAAGAGATACGCAGAAGGATACAGGTGGTCAGGGAAAGAAGAAACCCCCTAATCGTGAAAATAAAGCTGTGCTGCTTTTGCCCTTGGAAAGGTCTCTCAGTCCTGGGACCCCTCCTCACTAATTTCTGCCCCCAGGTCCTCTCTGAACTGCTGATACACTGACATAAATGGAGCCCTACAGGGGGGATGCAGACAGTGCCTGTGAACCCCATGGATCTGGTCCCAAGGGGCCTCGGTGCACAGGCTGGGCAATGGAAGAGACGGAGTATGAGTCGCCAGGTCACAGTGGTGAACCCAGTTGCCCACCGAGGCTAGGCAGGCAGTGGGCAGGAAGGAGCTGGACCAGGAGGACATAGGGCCACAGGTCCAGCTGACAACCCCAGCATGGACATGGAGCCTGTGGGCTTCAAGATCTGCCAGACAGTCTCATAAGATACCAGAAAGTCAATTTTCAGGTGAAATCTGAGACACTAAATGCTGGAGACTTTACAGACTAAATGAAACACACAGCAGGTGCCTCTGGTCCAGGGTCAGGAAGTGTTAGTGACAGAAGGGGCCTCTTCAGGGTCACACAGCAGGAAGGTGGCACAGCTGGGACTTAAGACCAGGTCATCAGACTACCCACATGGGCTCTTTTCATAACCCTACACTCAAGTGAGTGCAAAGGACAGGAATCTGGGAGCCACTGGAGGGGTAGTCTGACAGGGGCTGTGGCCATTTCTGGGCCCTCTGCCCCATCTGCTGAACTGTGGGGGAGGCCAGGCAGAGGCACGAGCAGCAGGTGAGCTGGCACCAGCCAGACGATGCTCTTAAATAAAGCCTTGGCACAACTCTGCCATCGGATGAGACAAATTCCAAAAATGAGAATTTTCAGAGCCTTGACTATAATAGGAGTGGAAACTTATTCCTCCTAATTACATAATTGCATAATTATGCAGTATTAAAATTACATAAGTCAAAGTCAGAGGCTTAAAACCTGGCCTGGATTTCTTTCATCACCTGGGGCTTCTGCAAGGACAGAGGTAGGGTGAGGAGGGGAGTTCACTGCTCTGGGGGAAAGAGGATAAGACTGAGGGTCTAAGCGGACCAGAGAGAGAGAGAGAGAGAGAGAGAGAGAGAGAAAGAGAGAGAAGGTGTGTACAGGGCTGTGAAGATCTGCAGCTGACTAAGCTCTGCTTGTCAGCGATGGGCAAGTCAGGGACACTCTCATCCCGGGGAGAAAACTTGGCTTAAAGACCAAGCTGCGCTGTGTTTAGGCGGAGGGGTGGGGGTAAGGTTGTGTCCACCAGCATCGCCTAGGCCCTTTTTATTGTTTTTTTGGTACCAGGGATCGAACTTGGGACCTTGCGCTTTCAAGGCAGGCATCAGAACCACTGAACTAAATCCCCAGCCCCTCAACTAGGGCTTTTTAGCTCTGAGTTAAAGCAAGGATCTGACTTGGCCTTTCTGAGGCTGTGACATGGGAGACACCCTCAGACCTGAGATTCATGGCTCTTTTCCATGCAGCTCCTCTCAGCCCTCAAACCAAAGCTTCCTTCTAGACTTGGTCCACTGACGATTTCTAGCTAAACCCCAGGCTCTGCTCTTGCCTTAACCAAAGATATCTATGACCTGTGCGAGAAGAATTTTACATTGCAGGGACTGAGGCCGACTTGCAGAAGGCCTGATTCCTGCCTAGGCCCTCCTCCATCAGCAAGACATAACAGGAGCTCGGGGGATGTGGAGAGGCCGGATATAACTGGTGGACTCCGGGTCTCCATCTGATGGCGGACTCTGCCACCCTCCTCCAGGGTCCAGCTCACCTGAGTAGATAAGGACTGAGCACTGGAGCATTAACCATCTGCTACCCAGAGGGAAACACAGGTGGCTGTGGGTTAGGTCTGGCCTCGGGTCTGCTTCCTGTGATAGTGCTGATGTATCACATCCCTGCCTATGTTATAGAGAGTCAGGGGGCTTTATTTTTTTTGTTTGTGTTTATGCTCATCATTTTTTTTTTTTAATTTGAGAAGCAATAGGGGGCCTGATAGAGGAGGGAAAAGAATTCTCACATTCCCCCTGGCAAGAACAGAAACATGTCTGTGCGGGTCTGTGCCTCCGGGGCTCCTTCCATTGCTGGAGGCTGGTCACTCTCGGGGCCACTCCATGGCAGAGAGAGAAGCTGGCAGCTGGAACCAGGAGGCAGGTGATATGGAAGGGGAAGAAGAGGTGCATTTAACAGGTGGTGGGGACAATTTTGGGGATGGTGGTGGGATCTATCTCTGCCACCTCACAGGTGGCAATGGAAAAGGAAAATAAAATCAAGAGCCAGAGCCAAACTGTTTTTGCTGTCAAGGTTAAGCACTGGACTTAGATGTGGCCATGGAGGGAAGATGGAGCTCTCTTGGAGTCCTCAAAAACAATGACTTTAATGGAGAAGTGGTTTGCCCTAACTTCAGACAGCACTGCTGAGCACTGCTATGCCAAGAAACCCCGAAAGGCTGGGGGCTGTAATTTTTCTTTGTGGCTAATTAGCTTCTTTTCTTGTTAGTCACTTATGTCTACAGTTTTCAAAATATAGTTTGAACAGAGAAAAATCTGCATTCCTACTGAGTTAATTCTATAACAGCAAATATACTGTACCTCAGGTACATTTTTCTTAAATTCCCGGCGGAGTTCAATTAAATGTTTATGAGAATGTTCACTCTCCTCCTGCCGTGCAGACAGCTCGGAAGCGACGGAATTAAGCTCCTTCTGAAACAATAAAAGAGAGAAAGAGAGAGAGAGAGAGAGAGAAGAAAAAGATTTTTCCCTCTTTTTCCTTTTTAATCATCACACAAAATAGCATCCTGAACAAGTTTTTGTAACTTACAAAGCTTAGAAAAGACATTGATCCCTGGCACAAAGGAATAATTTATGAAACTGGGGAGGCAACCAGGAAAAAAAATCCAGGACAGCTCTTTTGCTCCCTGGAAGTCTGGCCAGATCAATAATCTCCCAGAAAGTTGGGTGGAGTTGTTAGGTTTTTTTCCCATCTCTTCCCCACCCCCGCCCCACCTCTTAAATTTCCAAAGGAGTGATGGCATAAGCTTGTCAGTAACTGTAGAAAACATCTCCAAACCGTGTCAAAATAGTAAAGTGCGGCATATTGTATGGGCATATTATAGTGTAAGAAAGTGCTGTCGACAGCTTTCATATATCAGAGGTGGGAACTGTTCCAACTATGACTTACTTACACTTAAAGGTTCATAAATACGCCTCTTAAGATATAGATGGCTTTTTAATTTCAGTAGATTTTGGAAAAATGAAGGTGCCAATAAGCAGCATGCTGACCTTTTGTGTACCCTACGGTAAATCATTTAAGGTTCACTTCAAGTATAAGAAATATTTCATTGAAGACTCCTAGATTGGAGGAAATGGATTGGAAGGCACCTTGCCTGCATATGTGCAGCGAAGGCGTCAGACTAGGGTTTTTCTCGAGGTACCAGCAAGGGAAAAAAGAAAGTGAGAAGGAAGGAGAGATGCTGCAGTTCACACTCATCACAGACAATGCCTGCTGGTCATACATGTCATTCGGTCACCCTTCTTGAAGCGTTCTTCACTTTAACGGTGGCAGTTTCACAGGGGGAGTACAATTCACCATGAGTTGTCATGGATTCATTTGCATAATTCAAGAAATGCTCTGTTTATGTGGTCTGCTGCTTTCTGGCACCATCCCGAGATGGGCTTTTTTTCTGGACCATAACTCGAGGAGCATTTCTGTATATATCACCCGATTATATTTGCAGCAATCAAGCCCCATAATTTCCTAAATCCGGTGGTGCAATAAATTTCTTCAATCAGATTTATTAAAAACACACACGCAGATGCAGAGTGTATTTCCAGGGTGAACTCTTTAATCTAACATTTGTATGATGAGGCCCGGCACCGTGTTGAAAGACCCCATTTGTCATCGCTAATACACATTCATCTTGCACACACAATGAAACACTTTTACCATTAGATAATGAAATAAAAGTACTATTAACCCACTGCAAATCCCTTTCCCTCTAAGAGACAAAATGCATGGTAATTGTCTTATATCATGTCTGAGAGTCGCTAAGCCTGCTCAATAGCAATTCACTTTACCACCGTAAACCTGGTATCCCAAGCCTGGGACTGCTGCCTTTGGCCTATGGAGACTTCTGGAGTAATCCAGGAGATAATTTCTGTTTCTAGAGAGATGTCTAGCCTCTTAGGAGAATCTTGAGGTGAGAAGGGAGGAGGCAGAGGTACAAAAATAACTGAAAACAGAGGTGGGAAGCGGGCGCTCTCCAAGGTGCTGAAACCAATTCTTGCAGGAGCACAGGGTAAAACTGCTTTCAGCCCAAGACTTCCCTGTAATTTTGAGCCAGTTGAGGAACAAGGTGGCATGAGAAAAAAGAGAAAGATATTTCTTCTACCACCATTTAAAACTAATTGTAGCTTCCAATAAAGAAACTGTAACTGGCCACCACCAAAACATCGAGTGACTGGGGAGATAGTGTTTGTAGCGATAGATAAAGGTTGACAAAAGCCAACAGCTGGTGCAGCCAGGTGGACAGAATCTCACTTGGCAGGAGACAAAGAACTGGAGTGCCATGGTCAATTTGAGTTGTAGCAAAGCACTTGTCAAAGTTTTTCTTATTTCTTTTGAAGACAAAGATGTGATTTTTACATTGCTGCAGGACAAACAGAACTGGAACTTAGATGTACATCACTTGATTTGGGGCTATCGTATTTGACACCGTGCTCTTATCTCAGGGACACTGTACCTCTCCACACCATGGCAACCAGGATAGGTGCTGGAAGCCGGATTTTGACTCCTCATTAAAAACATCCAACCCATGCTCTGAAAAGAAATCTCAGAGCAGGTGAGTCCAACTGCTGGATGTGTGTCTGACCATCATGCCTGGCTCCTTCCACCTGCACCTCCCAGGCTGCTTGTGGATGCAAATCTGACAGGCATGATGTTTGCTGCACCCACGCGGCACCCAGTCCTGGCCCTGGCTCAAGCCCAGGTCTCCTGCTTGGCTGTTGAAGGGCAGATGAATTCACTGACGTCCACATTCTCCTCAACTTTGCCTAAATCTATGTTCATCCTTCAACCCTGAATTCTTGCCACATTTCTATGGTAAACACACTAACGTTAGTAATAATAACAACATTAATAGCAAAAAAACCCTAGCATTATTAATCCAGTGCTTACATATACCAGGGACCATCCTGTGTTCCTAATATATATCATCTCATGTAACAAACACATTAATGCATCTGTAAGGTGATCCAAATGGGGTCTAGGATATAAATTACAGTCAATTCTAATAATTGAGGTATAGATTATCCCCTTGGTGGATTATAAAGGCAAATTTTTAATGCCTTGCTCTTTAGCAGTCTTTTGCTCCACTTCCCCATTAGCTGGGGGGTGTTTGGGGGAGCTTGTTTCAAATGATGTAATGTAAATGTGTAAGCATCATGCAAAGTACCAAGAGTTCAATAAACATGAGCTGATATTAATCTTATTTTAGATACACTGAGAGCTCAACGAATGCCTCAATGGATCAGGGATTCTAAGAGTTCTGAGGTTTATGGGTCGTATAAATCTTACCAAAAATGAAACAAAACAAAAATAAACAAAAACAACACTCAGAGCATTGCCAAGCTTTACTGCAAGTGAGAATAAAAACTACTCCTTCCTACCCTAAAACAATGGATATTGGAACATCAACAAAGCAACAGGGCCAAACAGAATTGACAATGGTCTTTTAAAATAAACACACTTAAAATAAAAAGCTCACGGCACTATATTTATTTCAAAGGAACAAAAAAATTCTGTCATGAACAGAAACCAGCCCTCATCTGAAGTGGAGTTTTAGAAACATGTGTGCAAACCACCATGCACCCAGCTAGCAGGGCCTCTCCTTCCACAATCCGGCAGAACTCGGGCCTCTCCTGGCCTGGCCCCAGTCCCCAGCCCGAGGGGAGCCATGATTAACAGAGCCCCAGACTTTGGGCCAGGCCCAAGTGGGGAGGAGACTCATCTGATTAACCGGCCATCAGCAGCAGACAGACAGCCCGGAGCCCGGGCGCAGACCATTCAAATAATGATCATCATAAACAGCCCATTTGCAACTAAAAAGAAATAATTTTAATGAGCTTGAAGCAGATGATAGATGCAGCTGAGGCTCAGACCAATGTGCAGAGAGAAAGGAAGCTGGATTTGAGCTGCTACCCAAGACCAGGCGCTGCAGGAAGCAGGGGTTTGGAGGAAGGGGCTTTTCTGCTGAGACCCAGCAGCCCCCATTGCTTACGAGCTGCAAGTGCCCGCTGCCCGGCGAATGCCCCAGATCCAAGAGGGTCTGCCAGAGGCATGTGGGGCAATCTCAAGACTCAGACCTCAAGATCTCAGAACACACAAGCCACAAGGAGCCTCATGGCCCAAATCTAGACACCTGCCCCTCTGCATGAATTTTGTCATATTACCATTTCACCTAAATTGCTATTCACTTAATATTTATCTTCAGGGCTGGGGATTTAGCTCAGTGGTTTGGGTGCCTGCCTTGCGAGCGCAAGGTCCTGAGTTTGATCCCCGGTACCAAAAAAAAAAATATTTATCTTCAAATTGACTCCTAGAGTTTCCTTGATTGAGATAGGTATAACTTTAAGTTCAATGATAAACTTGATGAGTTTTTATATCCTCATCATTTCCACCCAGCTCAAGACATGGAGCACACATATCCTAGCCCCAGAAGCTCCTTTGTGCCCCTAAATGTATCTATTATTATTATTTTTTGAGACAGGGCCTTGTTATGTAGCTCAGCCCGGGCTTGAACTTACTGTGTAGCCCAGGCTGGCCTTGAACTTGTGGTGATCCTCCTGCCTCAGCCTCCCAAGGTAACCATTAATCTGACTCTAACATCATAGGTACAGCATGACTGTTCTTAACCTACATATGATTCCCCTCAAACCTAAATAACCGCATTTGAAAAGGAACCTTTCCCACTAAGGTATCCTGTGCCATAAATAATGCCTTAAAAATAAAAGTACAACAAAAACAATGCACTGAGGTCTGTCCTTACAAAAGGTTAGCAAAGTGTGGGAGGTGTGACCTTGGACAAGAGATTCAGCCGTAGTTTCTGCATCTGTAAAATGGGGATGACAGTTTGTGTCTCTACAGCTACTGTAATAATTGGCCTGAAACATCTTGACCATAAACAGGTAAAGTTTTGTGTTTTTTTGAGACAGGGTCTCGCTATGTAGTTCAGGCTGGCCTTGAACTCACTATGTAGCCCAGGCTGTCCTCGAACTCACAGAGATCCTGTTTCGGCCTCCTGAGTGCAGCCACCAACCAGGTAAACTGCCCAGTACCATGTCCAGGGAGATGTCAGTCCCTTAAGAGTGGGACTTTGTTTCACAGCTTTATCTGCAGATTCTTGCTCAATACCTCATACAAAGTAGGCATTTGAAGATATTTGTGGAACGAGTGACGGTTAGTGCGAATATGCATGGAGCTGTGGCTAGTGGCCAGGGCAAGATGAGGTCATCATTTAGGGGAGCCACATCTCAGGCCCACACAGCATTTCCCAGCGTTCCTGTTATCATCCCCGACACACCACAAAGAGGTAGATTTCTGGGGTCAGTCACAGCAAAGGGGCTTAATCTGTGTGCGGTGGGGCAGACTGGCAGTGTCCCCAGCAGAGGGTGGCTCTGGGAGGGAGCTGGGGACAACCTGGGAT